GTACATAAATAAATAAATATTCTGAATATTAAAATATAATTTATACACTTTAACACATTTTATTTAGATTTAATTTAAACTTTCTAAATCTTATTTCAGTTTATGTTTAATATTTTAAAGTTAATAAATATTATTTTTTCTTAATTTTAATCAATTATAAATTTTAATTGAGGTATGATTAATTTTATTAAATTGGCTGCTTGCATTTAATGTCAATTATAAATTTATTGAAATTTAATTTGGGGTAGTATTTGTGTAGATATCATTAGTGCTTAATGCTCGATTAGCTAAATCGAAATTTATTTATCCAATTGAATTGAGCATAACTTCTGGCTGGAATAACTTTGGCTATAATTTTCGAGCCACAAGCGAAATGCGCAATTGCTGCGCTGGCTAAAACTAACCAAAATTCTGTTGGCATTTCCCAGGCGTACCGCAGGCTAAGCATTATAATTCATGCCTGGGCATCCATGGGCTGAGTGAAGTGGAGGCGAGAGGGTGGTAAGGACCTTTATGAGTAATTTGATACCTAGCGATAGCTTTTTGGCAAAACTTTTGACTTTGAGGCCATTAATCAATTAATTAAGCATTTTATGAATATTTCAGCCACAAAGCAAGAAATTGGCATTATAATCGCCGGGGAGCGAACTTGATGCCACACTCCACGTCCACCAGGAGTTACCTTTCGCGGGCCACTTAGCATTGCACATGAATATTTAACGCCAAATGGGCCAAATGGAATGTCTAAAAGTTATGTGGCTTGGCCCGGGCTCGTCTATCGCTTGTTACCCACGGAGCCTGGAGACCTTGTTTGGTCAGAGTCGAGGGCGGCTCTGGCTCTAGCTCTGGCTGAGCTGGGTCCATAATCGGGCGCATGATGACGAGCTATCGTTGACGCTGGATAATAAGCAGAAGCTGAAGGCACAGAAAGGGATAATGACTTACGCCTCCCCAAGAAGTTGATGAAAGCAGCCAGAGCGCAGGCGAGGCTACCAACCAAGCAACCAACCAACTTTCTTGGGAAGAACAAAACTTTATGACTAATTAATTAAATGCGCTATAAAAATGTTCCGTTTGCTGGCAAAGTTTATGCATTTCTGAACCGTGAAAAATGAGCGTAGAGAAATTTCTCACCATCCCCGGCAAGAGAAAAAAAGGAGGAAAAAATTGAACTTAAACAAAGAGTCAGAAAAAAAGAAGGGAAATTAACGGAGCAGCGAGCGACAAAACGTTTGAGTTATGCGCTAAACAAGTTTTGCAGCTTCTCTAACGGAGTCTCGCTTAAATATGCAGGTGTGTGAATGTGTGTGTGAGTGTGTGAGATGTCGTTGTTTGCTGTACTCATTGAAAAGAAATAATGTGAGCAGTGATGAAAAAGTACTTAAGCTTGGACTCTATTTGTATTTGGCATGACTCTTGTTCCAGCAGGAATATGGAATGGAATCGCGATCATAGTCAATACATGAAACGAGCGAGTATAGGAAACACTAGTGTACAGAGAGAGAGGGAGAGAGAGAAAGAGATAGATAGATAGATAGAGAGAAATATATATATATATAGAGAGAGAGAGAGATAAAGAGAGAGAGAGACATTTATGAATATTTGTTTCCTATGGAAGCATATTGTATACCTCTTCGTATTTCTTTTCTTCTAGATCCTGCTTGTTATTCTAATTTTCCCCTTGATTTGATTACATTTTATTGATTTTCCTCTTTTGAATGGGTATCCTCTAGCATTGCTTTACCCATTACTCGTTTTCTTTTGCGTTCATCCTGAAAACTTTTTAATGAGTTTGCCAAATGCTGCAAAGTGCGCAGCCAGCGTCGACGTCAATTGGTTTATAATCTTTATTTTTGAGTTATG